TCTCGTGCACTTTTCTTCCCTGTTGCTAGAGAATCACAGCACCCTACTCCAAGAATCACAGAGACTGCAGAGGACACTAGATTTGCAGAGGGATGATGTCCTGTCTCCATACACAGGGACGCTAGGCCTCATCATGAGGCTGGGGAATGATACCTAGTGGAGTTAGGAATGCAGGAGACACAGCAGTCCCTGACACAGTACACCTGCAGGAAGGACCTGGCATGGGGCAGGAGGAGAGTTCTGCTCAGAGGCTGTGCTCAGCGCAGCAGGACCAGCCCTTGAAGCCACTGCCCAGATGCGGGCTGGGTGAGCCCAGGAACAGACCAGCTAGCCTGTTGGGCTGCTCTGCCCGTCAGGTGCCCTCTTGAAAAGCTGGAGAGGCCTTAGTGGACTCCTGTGGAATGGGAGGCTGCCTCCATCCTGCATAGACAGAGAACGTGCAGCCCGGCAGTCAGGATCCAAGGAGCCTTGAGGGCAGACCTGAGGACGATTGCAGGCCCACCCATCTCTCCTTGGGCTGTCTGGGCCTTCATCTTGGAGTGAATTGCAGATGACCAGCTCCTGGATAGTTGTTATTTTACTCTTCAGAGGTGCCCTGCCCTGACAGTCTGGTCTGAGGGACTATCTGTGTGATTGTTGTAAATCTAGGGTCAGCTTGTGTCCCTGCTCTGCCTCAGCCCTCCATGAGTGCTCACCAGCCTCATGGTGAAAGTTCAGGTCCTTGTCACACCACCCAAGGCTCTACAGTCTCCAGCCTGTTGCCTCTCTCATCTGCTACTGTACAACACACACCACAAAAGTGAATGACTTAGGAGGACAAAGCTCAGTCTGCAGCCTGGGGGGAGTTTAGCCAGAACAGCTGGCTCTGGCGTGATCAGCCAGGATGGAGGCCTTGGGCTTGGTCTCTGTCCCTTGTGTGTCTCCACCATGGGCCTTTCCTGGCACACCTACACAGGACACACACTCCTCCCATGGGGCCAGGCTTCCTCAGAGCATGGCAGCCAGGTCCCCAGGCAATCACCTCTCAAGGACACGCAGAAGCAGTGCTGCTATGGCCAGTACCAGCCTGCCCGGGGCAGGGGAGGGGAACGTCCTGTCCCTGGGCACCAGGTGACTAGGCTCATGCCCAGAAATGCTGCCTTGGGCTTTGGGGAGATATAATCTGCTACCTTTTCTCTCCCTAGCCCTGGGGTCACTGCTGTAGAGGTTTGTGGCTCCTCACTGACTCACCTCTGACTAAATGAGTTCCAGTTGCCCTATACTTCATATGGGGAAACTGAGGCCCGGAGAAGTTCCTACAAAGGTTACAGTGGAGATCTCTGCCTCCAGTGTTGGGAGCAGCACAGAGAGTATGGGGTGGGGTGAAGAGGGAACCCAGCCTGAGGGATTTCCAGAGGGCCTTGGGGCACAATAGTGCACACTATGCTAACCTAGAGGCAGAATCACTGGCTCCTGGATCCTGCATGCATTTCTCCCTTAGAGGTTGAGAGACTCGTAATTTCCAGGGATGGCCAGTGCTGAGGAAAACAAGATATTTCTTGGCTGGGGAACACAACTGCTGCCCACAACTGATGGGGGACACCTCCACCTCACTCTAACCAAGGCTTTCACGTGTCCATGGTGACAGCCCACAGAGCAGGTACAACTCTGCAGGGGCAAAGTCAGGGCCTTGCTGTGCCTCCAGACAGAAGCCCCCATCTGTAACAACAGAGCAGTGTGACGGGATGGGGCACTTCTGGGGGGCCTGTGATGCAGGCACAATCGAGAGACCCCGTGAGGCAACTTTCCCCAGACCAGCACACGTGTGGTGTGGTAAATGGACTCAGACACAGGACAGTTTGCAGATGGCTGCCAACTCTCAGCTGGGAAGGGCATCGTGCAGCCTGGGCCGGCTTGGCCTCCATTCTCCCAGCATCCAGGCCCAGCCAGAGCAGGTAGCTGCCATTGGGAAGGGACCACAGAGAGGCTCGCAGCCTTGGCTTCAATCATTCAGGCACCTACCCTGAAGATGTGACTCAAGCCACCCCCAAAATAGATCCTCATTAGCGTTTTTCCTCCTCCTTTTTGGAAAAAGAGGGATAGCTGCTGGAGACGAAAAGTGCAGTAATTAAGCCCATTAGGAACAGTGCAGCTCAGTGTTCACTTGGGACTGCACTTCACGAAGGATCCTGCTCTGTCCTGTCTGGAGGAGGGGCGGTCCCATGCTAGAAACCTGCTGGTTAGAAACCCAGGGCCAAGGGGAGATGGCAGTTGCTGTCTGCTCATACAACAACCAGCTCTGTTCGCAGAACTGAGGCTAGGGGAGCTTTCAGAATGCAGCGCCTTCACCGACACCTCCCTCTGCTGTGCTAGTGTATGTGTGAAGCACGGGTGTGTCACCGGGGGCTCTGTCTGGCCCCATCTGAATGACTCAAGTGCATATGAATTCAAGGACCTTGCTTCCCAGCAGAAACCCAAGATGGACTGGTTCTGCTGGGAGCCATCACAGGCAGATGCCAGGGGTCTGCTTTCTGCCTTGGTGCAAATGAACAGTCAGTCATCTTAGACCTAACTTAATTTTTTTGGCATAAAGAAATATAAATATGATGTGCTTCACATATGTAATTTCAAATTAGGTTAGTGAGCTGGGGTCTGTCTCAGGCATGGATGATTTAAAGGCTGAGCAGGGAAAAGTCTCTTAAAAAGAAAGTTACATTCAGTTGCCACATGAGTAGGGGCTCCATGCCTGGGCATTCACCCAAAGGGCTAAAAACCAGGACTTGAAATATGCCAACACAGATGTGCTCAGAGGATCACTTGCAGTGGCTGCGGTGAGTCTGTTGTGGGTGAGCAGTAAACAGCTGAGGTGCATCTAGGTTGGCACTGGCTGGACACAGGACCGAAATCGCGACACACACCGAAGCAGACGTGCCTCGGAAGCATGCGGAATGCAAGGAGGCAGCCACACACTCTGTTTGGCTCTGTTCCTGTGAAGTGATCAGATCAGGCAAATCCACACACTGACAGGATTAAGCGGTGGCTCCCAGGGACAGCGGGAGAGGAGGGTGGTGTGGGCATTCATTCAGGGTGATGGAAATAGTTTGGAACTAGACAGAGGTGGTGGCTACTGGCTTTGCGAATGTAAAACATACCAGGGAACCATATGCTCTAAAATGGCAATTTGATCTTGTGATTTTTCACAAAAGGAAGAAGAGGAGGAGGTAAGGAAGGAGGAGGAGGAAGAGAAGAAAAACATATCAAGGACTTCTGTATAATGAGGTCCTTGTACCTCAGCTTCACCATGCTGCTGGCTTCCTCTCTGCAGATCTCCTCTCTCTTGGTCAGCTTGTGTACTGAAACAGGCAGTATGTTTTAAAGCACTTGTTTAGCTTTGTGAGGCATGTGGCTTTGACAGGTCCATCCTCCCTGGGGTGTGGCAGTCAGCAGAGCAGCACTTCTGGTGTCCGAGCCTAGGTGGTCCAGGAGCACTTCCTGCTGTGTGGGGATGGGAGGGGTGCAAGGCCCAGCCAATCAGGTAGGGCCCCTGCCTGCGCACATTGTGAGATCTCAGGTAGCCAGTGGCATCTTCAAACATTTGAATTTTTGCTAAGGCTGCACTTGATTGTGAGGAGAAATCTGAAGTTTATCAGATTTGTTTTCCACCCTGCACTGTCTCCAGTGGAGGAATAAAGCAGATATGGGTTTGTCCTAAACGTCTCCGCGTCCTGCTTTTCTCACGGTAAACAAGTCTAAGAACACCTGTGTTTCCTGGAGGCTCCCCAGTGATTTCTGTTGTTGAGAGCCTCAGGCCCCATTGAGCCCCCGGGGAAGCAGCTCAGTTGTGCTCACAGGACTGCTAGAATGTGTTCCACCTGCTGGGCAAAAGCTTCTTGCTAAAAAGAGGCCCGCAACTTATGTAGTCCTACTTTCCTTATTACTCAAAACCAGCCCAAAAGGCACAAAAACTGATAAATAAGGTATTTAAAATTGTATTGTTGAGATTGGGAGAAACAGGGATTTACAAAGCTCACTTTGGAAACAGAGATTCCAACGCACTCTTGCCTAGCACAAGCCACCATCCTCAAAGCTCAGATTCCAGCAGACGGATGGAGAGGATGGAAGCTTCCAAGCTTCCTGCTAAGCCCTTGGCCTCCCACCTGTTCAGCATCACCATTCACAGTAGCTCAGAGACGCTGACAATGGGGACACACCTGTCTCCTAAGCCCTCCTCTGTCACTGTCTCAGTTCCTCCCAGTGGCCTTGTGGCAAGGCTTGCTCCACAATAGTGAAGGCAGGAAATGCACGCATTGCTGTAGGTGAGGGTGGTTCTCTAGCACTTTCAATCTATCTGTTAGTCTCTTGGCTAAAGAAGCCAAGAGTTTTGCATTTTATAATTCCCTGAAGAGAGACTGTTGTTTCAGAGAAATACTTAAGAACAATACTTTCTGTAGAGGTCCCAGGATTCATGTTTGGTCAGTTAGTGGCTAGGTTCTACTTCCCACCCAAGTTCGAAAGAGGCGTTTTGGGTGGGGGAGAGAAGCATACCCGACAGAAGCGAGGGCGAGAGGTGGCACGGAACACACCAGTTAAGCGCAAGCATGTGCTTGCTAAATTGATAGTCAAATCACATGTGAGTATGTGTGTGGCCAAAGCCTCGCCCAGGATATTTTTCCAAGCAAAAATATTTGGCGTAAGTAAAAGTCCCTGCTCCATCTAGCCTGTATGAACAGTTTTGAAATGCTTTCTTTAGAGTGCCGAAGAACTATAGCAAAACCCCACTAATTTCAGACAGGTTTTTCTTTAAACACATCAAGAAGAAAGACAATTGAACAGCAAAACACACTTCTTTCTGTGTTTAAATGATCACATGAACATTCAGCGTTATTGACATGAAATACTTCTTACAGACCACCTAATGCATATGCAATGGCCAACAAAGTTGAGTTTTCCATGCAAGTAATGAATATTACTTGCAGGCTAAGATTGTCCAGCAAAAAAAAAAAAAAAAAAAAAAAAAAAAAAAAAAAAAAAACTGCTTTATTGGATCCATTTTCTAACTACAAAGATAGCCGACACAAATATCAAACACCTCTTTTCAGGTGACAGTCTACTCAGAAATGGTTCATGCAACTCCATGACGGTTAACACAGGGCAAATATCTGGGCTGCAGGGGAGAGGCCTGCGGGCGGGCAGGAGCCTATGTACAACGTGGTCGCACAGCAGCTCTTCACAGTCGTGTCCAAACGTTCAGATATGGCTTTCAGAGTTTTCCTTCCTTCTGTGAGTTAGAAAAGGTAAGACGTAGTCATACACACAAATATGTTAAAGATGATTCTTCCTGTCTGTGACTGTAGCTTTCAACCTCCACCCAAGGTGCAATTCAGGCATTTTCCATAAGGGGGCGTTAACTCCTAAGGCACAAGTACTGTATTAGGTTTAAACATGTTTTAATTAAACCATGCTTTTTGGTTATATGAAACAATAGGTCATTACTAGTAATAGTGTATAATAAGCCGTTAATTATACAAAATGCAGAAGGAAAGCCTACATTAACCTATCTGTTAACAGTAACTAGTCTGACAACACATTACATACACAGTAGCTACATCTGAAAACATAGTATTTGGTAATTGTTTTCTTAGATGAAGCAGAGAGCTAGCTATAAGGCTTCTGTGAAATAACAATCCTATAATTGGACAAATATATTACACTCCCGTTGTAATTTTATTTACAATTACTTCCCAATTTTGCTATGTGGTAACCTACAGGCATTAGAACGCACAGCCACACAATCTAAAGTGCTCTGTAACTGCATGAAAAGAGAAGATGTCACCTACTGCTATTGGGTTACAAACCTCAACAGGAAGGTGATGGAAACCAGGTGTAGACTCAGGTGCGTTCTCCAAGGTGGATACTGATTATTGCTAACATGGAAGCCCTGCTGGGCACAGACTGATCACCACCATCTCTGTCACTGACTACAGATACATAAATATATGCCTATATATTTACACACATGCAAATGCAAATCTATCCTGTGACAGACAGGTTTCCTTTTTGTCCAGTATCCTATTTGTGCTATTTAACTTCCTTGTGCTATGTTCAAAGCCAGATTAAAAACAAGAATTCCCAGCATGCTACTATTAATAATCCTATGGTTTTAGTCACACAGAGGAGGGACTACGGCATGAAAGGGCTGAGATGACAGATTGGAATATCTCTAAAATGCACTGGATAAGGCAACAGAATTGTATAGTACAGCCCAGGAAAAGCTGAAGTAAGCAGGAAGTCATAGTAAGTTTCTCACAACTCTGGCTGGCTTGCCAGAATTCTCTGAATTTATACAAAGGATAAAGCCTCATAATGAAATGTTTTTATAGCTTTTGCTTCTACAAATACTCTCGTGGTAGTAAATCCAATGTTCAGTTCCATGATGCCCTGATGTGGTGGTCTGAGTAAGTAAGGCACTTCTTCCAGTATTGACATCCAGGGTGTGGGAGAGTTAGGCTTGGGGCTGCTTGCATGCCAGGCTCTACCTGTGAGAGCCCATCCCTGGCCTCGCCCACCCTTCTGTGTTCGTGAGATGGCTGTTTATTCAGGAGATACGGTGGCCTGCCTCCCTCCCTCCTTGGTAGAGGGCTCCTTCTGTGTACACGTGGACTCAAGCTCCTAGCGTCAGTCAGTCGGAAGTTCGGAGTGGTACCAGGGCGCGTTCAGTTCAATTCATTACAAGTCCCCCTCGCTGAGGCTCAGCTGTCCCCATGAGCCGAGTCCACAAAGCTTCTGCCAGCTCCAACGTGGCCACCTATGAGTGGAGGCTCGTGCTGGAGAGATCGTTGCGTATGATTTCATTTACTGCAAGAAAATGAAAAGAGAGGAAGCGTTAGGCAAGCAGCATTCTGCAGTGAACCTGGACGTAGACAAGGAAATGCCATCAGCCAGGCTTCTAATCAGTTATGTTCAGCTGTGACGAGGCACCTCCCAAAGAAACCAGCACTTCTCTCCTCCCTTCACGTCTCAGGATGAGGGTCCTGAGCGGGCACCAGCATGGTGGCAAGAAGCCCTGAGACGCAATGCTGCCCGCCTGCGACAGGCACCAGCTGTTCAGCTATTGAGATGGACCTTGGCATGCCTCTCTCGGAGCTTGTCCAGCAATAGAGAGGAGGGTCTCACAGGCACCCCACAGCTGCCTTCTGGGGCTTTTCCTTCACTCTGTTTCCCTGTAGACGGTCCATCATGATGGATACTAGCCATGTGTGATTTTTGGCAGATGGACAGGAAACGAGAATAACTGGCAAAGGCCATCACCACTGAGCTGCACAACATCCCCTCTCCCCACCCCACCTCCAGCTGTGGCCACCTGATCGGCACTGTGATAGGAAATGTCATTAGGCGGGTTGTCACCATGTCCCATTTTCCTAGCAGTGCTGGGAGGTGGGAAGCCTGCACTGACGTCATGGAACTGCCCAGGTTTCCCTTTGCCATGGCTGGAGCGCCTGCGCCCAGATAAAAGCTTGCACCTCCAAGGCCTGGCGTCTAGGGTGGCTTCCTGGAGCCATCAGTGGGTGTGCGTTTCATCACCCGCTCCCTCCCTAGACTCCCTTTCAACACCCCCCCAACTATTTTTAAGAATAACAATAATAAACGTAGATGGGGGAACCAGGAATTGTGTCATGGGAACTGATAACAGAAGGAACCCTGGCCACAAACAAAACACAGGCTTGCCCAGGGGGACTGCCTGGCAGGAGACCCTGTGCAGGGCAAGGTCCCTACAGCCCAGGCCCAGCCACCACTGTCCTGACTGGCTATGCCAGGGCCCGCCAGCGCTATCCTGGGTGGCTCCACTGGGGGCAGACTTCACTAACAAAGACAGAGCACCCAGCTGGTTTCCAGGCTGGCTCCCCACGGTGGGGCACGCGTGGAACTCCTCTGAGGGGATCTTGGCTTGACCTCTGATCACAGAATGCCCACACTAGAAGAGGCCCTTGGCTTTTAGGAAAGAAAATACCAGAAGGAAGGCAGGCTCCCTCCTGCCCTGTGACTCTTCAAAGCCACTAATGAGGAAATAACATAGCCAGGTGCTCACGGCTGGTCCAGGACCAGTGATCAGGACCCAACTTGTCCCCAGAGTACACACGGGGCAGCTCCGCAGCTACCAGCACTTTCCATGGGGTGCGGGGCCACAACACAGCCTGGGAAGCTCTGGGCAGCGGACGCCAGGGAGGGCAGAAGCCATCTCTCTGGCACAGTACGTGTCCCTGCCTGAAAGCCACAGAGCCTTTCTCATCTGTCTCTTGCTGCTGGGCACTGCACAGTGCTGTGCTTGGTTTCTCCAGCTGAGGCAGAGTGTCCAGGGTACCCTACCATAAGGCAGGGTCCCCAGAACTGGAGATGTTTAGCTCTTCAGCCTTCTTTGTAAAAAGGCACATGTCTAATTTATACTTTGCCTCAGCATTGCCACATCAAAGAACATTTGACAAAGAAAAATCACGAATCTCCAGTTTCTTTAAGGTATTTTCTTGGGAAAACAAAGATTTGTATGCAATAAAGATTTCTCATTACCAAATGAGAAGGATTTTTTCTGCTTACCACTCCTTTGGTGAGGAGGTAGAAACACAAGTTATAGCAACAACAACCTCATCCTGTGTCTCTGGTGCCCATGGCAGTTACAAGTTGCAGAGGGCATCCCGTCCATCCAACTCAGGCTCCAAGCCTGGAGCACACTATAGTTTTGGGCACCATTCGTCAGAGCAGATTCCCAAGCAGGGACAGAGTTGGGACAAACACCCGCCCCCAAGCTCCTGGGCCAGTGACCCTCACCTGGATGGCAAGGGGCAGGCAGGCCTGGAAAGATGTCTGCAGGGGCCAAGATGGGGAAAGAAGTCACGTACTAGAGGAAGAAGGCATCTGACTGGCTTTGGGTACTTTTGAACTAGCCCCACACAAGCAGAAGTGAAGAATGTTCAAATGCACTACACCGAGACAGCAAGGGTCACAGTCTCGTTCAAATCCCAGGGAGACCTGAGCGGTGGAGCAGAAGCCTGTTCTAAGTGACTGAGGGTGCAAAGGAGGCCGAGGGGTACTAGCGATGAGGCAGGCAGAGGCTGGAGGCGTCATCATGGTGACAGGACAATACCCTGACTCACGAGGGAAGACTGGGGAGCAGTGATGGGGCACTGGAAAGAGGCCTGGGAAGTAACGACGACGGAAGATTGGGCTGGAGAGGATAATAATGTGATGTGAGGGAGGGCTGAGGGTGGCGATGACATGGAGGGGGGCTTAGAAGTGATAACGTGGGACGGAGAGGGAGAGCCGAGCGGTCATCACGATGGCCTGTGAAGGAGGCCTCAAGGGGAAGAATAGGACGTGAAAGGTCTGACTGGCGATGAGGGATCAGGAGCGGGCCTGGATGCTGTCATGATAACAGGTGAATGAGCTCTGCGGGCGGCTGGGGAGATCCGAGGAGACCTGAGCAACAGTGATGTCACAGGACGGCGGCCTGCAGTCACAACAACGGGACCCGAGGTGATCTGAGGAGTGACAAGGACATGGACACGAGGGAGGGCAGAGGTACAATAGCAGTGCAAGGGAGAGGGGCCCGAGGCTAACAGTGATGCAGGGCAGAGCATTAAGTGGAGCAGCCGAGAAACTTCTAGTCACTCATGACCCTGCAGATCACAAGAAAAGAACATCTGCTTGAAAGGTAAAGGGGAAGAAACATGAGGTACGGGCTTCCCCCTGCTGCCCACTGGGGCACCTGAGCCTCAGAGGGAGAGCCCAGGCGGGGCAGGGGAAAACAGTATTCGAGTCTCCAGCTCCATGGGTCCCCCAGGGGAGCCCAAGGCTTGCCCGTGAGCACTGGATGCCACATGACCTCAGGTGAATGACCAGTCCCCCTCCAGCAGGCTGAGGCGGGAGTGCCCTCTAGGCCGATTCTGTTCTTGTCCTAGCCACACCATGTCTGGCCGGGATGACTGCGTTTTGAGTTCACAGGGAGGCACAGGAGCCGATACACCAGTCCAAACATCCTCCAAGATCTTCCCACATTCTCTGTGGGGCCACGTGGGGCATGGAGCAGCCGAGAGAAACTAAAGATGGGCAACAGTGTCACTGTGTGACCATGGGGTGCTCCAGTTTTGTGGAACAGTACAAAGCACAGCAGGCCGTGGTCCCCATGGCTATGCACACGCAGAGATGCGAAAGGGTCAGGGGCTCTGCCACGACCCTGAGAGGAACCCTGTGCTCCTCTCACAGTGGGCGAAGGGCCCAGCTGAGGAGCGAGGCTCGGCTGAGGGTCTGACCCTCCTTCTGCCCCCACCGCTGTCTTCCATGAAGTCACAGTTCCGGGTCCCTACCAGCCCACGTTGCCCTGAGCTCTGCCAGCTCCTCTGGGTGGCTTTCTGATATGGCCATGTCAGTGACACCCACAGGTTCACACAGTGCCTTCTCTCCACTGATAATTTCCACCTTCTTATTCAGCTTTTCCACCAGCATGAAGGCTTCTCTTTATAGAGGTGTTTTGAACTGCAGGTGACATGTGACCCTCACAACATGCTGAAAGAGGAACCTCTGCTGTGCTTACTTAGTCAGATGTCCCTCAACAGGATGTGGCAAACTGTTAGACCACAATTCAATTTAATAAGAAGGGTTTTTTCCCTCATATTTGATTTTCTCTAAAATGCTCCTAAGGTGGAAACTGTTGGTTTTTTCCTAAAGTGTAAGTGTGGTGGTTTGAATCCCTGTTATCACCTGGGATGTCGGCAGAGCCTGTGTGTCCCTAGGGCTCACGTCCACAGACCCACACTCCCGCCCACCTCTGCAGACATGCCTGGAATTGAATGAGTAGGAAGCCAGCTTTATCTGTTAAATATAAAGACTAGAAAGTTTGAAGTACAGGCAGAGGTTCTGGGTTACGTTCGCAGAACCTGTAAGTCAGGGGGCCTTCCTTCCCAGCGCACTCTTGACTATCCGCACATGAGCTGCGTCAGTCACTAGTGAGGAGTCCTTCCAAACTAAAATAAACGCACTTTCATATAACCAGTTTCTTCATTTTGAGTGCCCTTTTGAAAAAGGCTGACAGTAAAACCTCAGACTACAGAGAAACATCCATAGCTCATCTCTCAAGTTTCACTCCTGGGTTTTTGTATGACTATATTGAGAATAGTGCAAACCAAAAAGGAATCTGTGAGAGTCTGAAAATTATTTCGTATATTTTACCCTTTCAATGCCTAGCTTTCAAGCAAAGGTTCCCCACATTTTTCAGTTGTTGGGTTTTTCAAAGCAACCAAGGATTTCAAATCATTTTTAAGGAATAAGCAAACTTTTTATTTGTCTAACAATCAGGTAACCCTTTGTGGGGTCATAGCCTTCTTATATGTCATTTTTGATCCTTGCAACAGTTGTAGGTAGAAGCAAAGGTAGTGGCCAGTTTGGCCAATAGAGAAGCCACGAAGGCTCAGAAAAGTGGAGTGATTGCCTTTAGATGCCGGCAATGAAGCTGAGACCTGGTGGAAATGGAGCACAGGTAGCCCGCCCTGTGTGCACAGGCTGGCTTCCACTGGTCCTCCCAGGCTGTGGCCTTGTGATCCTGCCAGCAAGTTCACAGGATCACATGTGAATTAAAAATTTAAAAATATATAGTAGTAATAATAATGAAAGAATTCCCTAGGAAAGGCATGAAAGGTCTCAGGTGGTGGCTAGGATGGGATGGGACTAGATAGCTGACTGGGGACGTAGGGACACAAAGCCTCTGGTGTTGGTGGCAACAGCTGCCTCTCCTCCAAACCCACCTTCACAATGTCCCCTTGTCCCCGGCCCTTACTTTTGGCACCTGCATGTACTCCAAGTTCAGGGTC